GCCGGTGAGATTAGAACAGCCGAACTGCAGATAACAGTCAGCTGAAGTGGCCTGCAGTACTGCACCCTAACCACTGCGCCACCTCGGCTCTCTCTATAGCCCCCTGTAAGCAGCTTACAGAGTCAGCATATCGCCTCCAACAAATTGGGTCCTCGTTTTACCCACCTCGGAAGAATGGAAGGCTGAGTCAACCTTCCGCCTGGTGAAATTCAAACTGCAGGCAGCCAGCAGAAGTAGCCTGCAGTACTGCATTCTACCCACTGTGCCACCGCAGCTCTTGGTCAGGTTGAAAAAAATGTATATAATGGGTTGTGCTTTCACAATGCATATTTTTATTTCCATCCTCAAGGCACACACCTGGCATTCTTGGTGGCATCCGAGCGTAGAATCTTCACAGCAACCAACAGGGGGCGCCCTTTGCGCACGTTGAAAGGGAACTCCAAACTTGGCAGATCTTGCAGGTTCTCCACTTCACACAGGTGGACCTTTCCAGGAGAGGGGGGGGGGGGAACAGGGAACCATTATGGAATCATGAAGGACACAGGCAATAATGGCACAGTGAATGCAGTATGGCCTTGCTCACAACCTTGGCAACTTAAAGGCGTGTGAACTTCAACTCCCATAATTCCCCAGTCAGCGAACACGAATGTTGGAGGAAAGGCTTCCATTGGCCAAAATCCATCTACCACGCATTTTTTTCTAACATGTGGCACCATGATGGAATGTAATGCATGTAGCCCTCGACCTATGACCACAATGGAGCCCAGAATTTATGTTGCTAAGTGAGAAATCTGTTGAGTTGTTGTCCCATTTAATGACTTTTCTTGCCCCATTTTGTTAAGTGAATGTCAAATCCCTATCATGACACTGCCATTTCCGTGAGGAGAGGATCCTGGATCATTTATTCACTTATTGCCCTCTTCCTGTTTATTACATATCCTGTAATCCAGTGTTTCTCAACCTTGGCCACTTGAAGATGTCTGGACTTCAACTCCCAGAATTCCCCCAGCCAGCGCTGGCTGGGGGAATTCTGGGAGTTGAAGTCCAGACATCTTCAAGTGGCCAAAGTTGAGAAATACTGCTGTAATCTCTTAGTTCCATGATGGCAAACCTATGGCACGAGTTCCAGAGGTGGCACGGAAAGCCCTCTCTGTGGGCTTAAGCACCGGCACCAGCTGCTCTTCTGGTTTCCATCTTCCCACCGGAAACCCGAAGACCAGCTGGTTGTATGAATGTGCACGGTGGCCAGCTGGTCTTTGGGCTTCCATCTCACATTCCAGGCACTTGGTGCTGAAAAGGTTCACTATCACTGCCTTAGTTTATAATCCCAGCTCTGACTTCTATCTGCCTTGTGCTTTGATTTACCTTTGAGGAATATGTAAGGGGCAGTGGTGAAATTCAATTTTTGTTACTACCAGTTCTGTGGGCGTGGCTTGGTGGGCGTGGCAGGGGAAGGATAGTGCAAAATCTCCATTCCCTCCCCACTCTGGTGCCAGCCAGATGTGGTATTTGCCGGTTCTCCAAACTACTCAAAATTTCCGCTACCGGTTCTCCAGAACCTGTCAGAACCTGCTGAATTTCACCCCTGGTAAGGGGGGAGGGCCATCTGTTTTGCCTCAGTTCTGAAGCCTCCGGAGAGAAGCGCCTGGGAACAGTTCCTTATCTCTTTCCCAGGACGACCGTTTGCAAAACATCTTCGCACCTGCGGATTGGCTCATTCAACCTCGGACTGAGGGGAGGGGCCTTCTAACGCCTTTATCCTAACGGAATTGCCTCAGGGGACTTAGAGCCTGCTTGGCTTTTGTCTTGCAATCACTCCCGTTCAATAAAAGTTTCCTTTTGAAACGCTGCTATTTCGAGAGTTTGTGCTTTCTTGAATGGGGAGGAGGGGCAGGACCTTACAGTGAATCACTGCAGTTGTTACATTAGTAACGCAGTTGTTAAGTGAATCCGGCTTCCCCATCAACTTTGCTTGTCAGGTGGTCACGAAAGGGGGATCACGTGACCCCGAGACTCTGCGACCGTCATAAATAGGGACCAGTTTTCAAGCATCTGCGTCTTACTTTTCCTCATGCATAGTCCAACCTCTGTCGCAGGCTGAACTGGGCCTACCTCTCCAAACTGCCCTTCGCCCAGCTTCTCCTTGAAGATCAGCCGTTCCCGGGGAAATTCGCCTACTGCCATGTCCTTGCCGGCAAGAGCATCCACCGCAACAGCCGGGACAGCATATGTGTTCCCCCCAGTCACTCCCTGCAGGTTGATGATGTCGGCTTCGGCGTAATGTGGCACGTTGTTCTGGAAACTTGGCTGGCTGGCAGCCAGTTCTGGTTCCATGTAGTCAATCCCACATGCTGCAGAAGAAGAAAGAAAGACAAAAGAAGAATCCCTTCAGAGGGGGAGAAAATAAACCTGGAGGATTTGCCCAAACCCTGCAACTCCTAGGCACCCAGCAGCCATCAGAGCCATTCGGAGCTCTGCTTTGGACACAAGGAGTCCAGATGTAACATCCTGCTCCATCCCCATTCTCCCTCCCCCACTCCAGAAGCTGCAACATCGCAGAAACCTGCAAAGCGGAAGGTGATGTTAGCCATGCACAGGGCCGACAAGAAGGAGATGTACGGGGGGGGACAGACATGGCGAAGAAAGAGAGAGGGAGACAGACGGACAGACAGCACCCCCTGGCAGGCAGGAGAGGAACCGCAGAAGGCAGGATGTTCTGAGCAGGGAGTGAGGTCACCCCGGGGTTCCCAGCCGCACCGCACAAGCTCAGCGCCCTCCTTACCATTGGTGTTGATTGGCTTAACCTGGCTGGGTGGCGGGAAAGCAGGCCTTCCCATTGGCTGGGCATAGGTGGCCAGGAGGAGATGGTAAGCCGGGTTGCTGAGCAGCAGAGCTGTCGGGAGAAGGGGGAGGGAGGGAGGGAGGGGGGTGGGGAGGGGGGAGAGGACAAACGGACGGATGAGGAACGGACAGACGGATGGAGAGATGGATACGAAAGGTAAGGCGTGACGCAGAAAACAGGCAGCACTTTAGGGATTCCCCTCTTTTAAACTTCACATCCCAAACAAGGTAGCAAGAGACGCAGACACCAAATGACATGCGGCTTAATGATGGGAACCAGCCATCATTAGTATCGCTGGACAGAAGGAAGTGACCCAGAATCCTGACATCTCCAGACCTGATGGTAGCCCTAAGCCCAAAGGCGGCCAGTGACGGCCAATCGAGTCCAATTCTTTATTTGCTTATGCCCAACAGACAGAATCTTGCCAGACTAAAGCTCCACAGGGAATCCTCGACGTACAACTGTTCACGGTTTCAGCAGCACTGAAAAAAAAGTGTCTTACAACTGGTCCCCGCACTTATGACCGTCGCAACATACCCATGGGCACATATTCGTGACAGTTGCAGCAATCATGTGATCGCTATTTGTGGCTTCCCAGCTGGCTTTGACAAGCAAACTCAATAGGGGAAGTCAGATTCACTTAACAACTGCTTGATTCATTTAACAAATGTAGTGATTAGCTTAACAGCAGTGGCCAAAAAAAGGTCATAAACTCAGGCACAGCTACTTTAACAACCACCTCACTTAGCGAAAGAAGTTCTGGCCCTAACTCTGGTCATAAGCCGAGGATTATCTGTAACTTTCTAACCTATATCTGGGAGATTATAGAACAGGGGTGTCCAACCTTAGTGACTTTAAGATTTGTGGACTTCAACTCCCAGAATTCCTCAGCCAGTACACAAGTCTTAAAAGTTGGAGATCCCTGTTCTATGGTGTGGTTACCCTCAACTTTTTCCTCCTTCCCTTATCCAGTTCAGGACTGAGCAATTGCTTATTTGGGTCTTTTTGTAAAATGGGTCCCCTCCTCCATGGGAAACTCTTGTGTCCTTACTAAGAATCCCCCCACTCCTCCTCTAGCTGCACATCCCATCACACCTGCTTTGGCCTTCTTCAAAGGAGTCAACCAAGGCTGGTCTTTCTCAATCTGTCCAGACGTACCAAGATACACGGCCCCAGTACCCCACCTCAGGATAATGGATATTCCAGCCAAAAACATCTAGAGGCAGCAAAGCTGAGACAACCTATCCCAGAACTTAAAACTCCTGTTCCTCTTCCTTCCCCACTTTTCCTCCATCAAATAGAATAGAATAGAATAGAATAGAATAGAATAGAA